ATCTACTTATGAAAAATCATCCACTGAGAACCCTGTGGGCACAGTTGTACTCTGACACATGCGGGGGCAATGAGCAAGGGTTCTCTGGATGACATCAGAAGGCTGTGGTGTAGTATAAGAGACATTATCTTAACGATTTAAATGTATTTTCTCCGTGTTTGCAGTCAGCTCTCCAAATCCGAGCAGAGCATCCTGAGCTCCCAACCCTACCAGAAATCTGAGTGCTACCCCGTAGCTTGGGCAGATGCCTTGGAGTGATGGAGTTAGATGAAGAAACACTCCAGATAAAGAAAGAGAAAAGCCTTCATTAATATCCGAAAGTTGACTGCAGAACACCAGCAGCAGAGAGACATTATACATTCTAAGAAGACTCTTACACTTTTTTTTAATCCTACCTGTGGATAAGGTGAATCACTTACTGTGTGGAGGGGTTGCAATTCTAACACATTCATACTAAATCACAAGGTGGTCAAGATGCCCCACAAAACATCTCAAAGGAGGGCAGGATTCGGTATCCCTGTTCCGGTTTGTTCACATGGCCACTCCGTCTCAGAAACAACTGGGATCCAGGCAATTGTTGGCATTCCAACATGGAAGACTCAAGGACACATTGAGGGGTGTGTACAAGATGCGTCCAGGAAGTATTTAGTTCTATTTAGTCTTAGCTAAGACAAACAGTTGGGAGTCCTGGTGTGGTACTGTGTAATAAGCACTGGACTGCTAACCACAAGGTCGGCAGTTCAAATCACCAGACGCTTCTCAGAAACCCAATACAGGGTTGCTATGAGTCGGAACGGACTTGACGGCATTTAATAACAAGGATCACATGAGTCTGAAGTAACCTGATGAGACGTAACAGCAAGCAACGAGAAGCCAAGCAGATACGCTCTTTAAACGGTCGTGGTGTTGGCTGTGTTGCACGAGTTGCTTCCAACTGTCAGCGGCTTTGTACAGAGTTTCTAAGGCTGTAAATCTTTACGGGAGCAGAAAGCCTCAGCTTTCTTCTGAGGAGCGACTGCTAGATTAGAACTCGTAACCTTGTGGTTTGCAGTCCAGCTTGTAATCTACTCCTTAGGGTCACTATGATGTTGTTGTTAAGTGCCGTCGAGTCGGTTCCGACTCATAGCGACCCTGCATAGGGTTTCCACGGAGCGGCTGGTGAGCTTGAACCACCGGTCACAGTGTATTATCCCGTATGCAGGCAAAAGTTGGGCAATGAATAAGGAAGATGGTAGAAGAATTGATGCATCTGAATTGTGGTGTTGGAGAAGAATATTAAACAGACCATAGACCGTCACAAAAACAAACAGATGTGTGTTGGAAAAAGTACAGCCAGAGTGCTCCTAGGAAGCCTGGATGGGGAGCCTTCGTCTCTCATATTTTGGACATGTTAAGGCATCATGCTTAGTGACATGAGCGTCTTCCTAGACACTCCCTCACCCAGGAGATGGATTGGTCCAAGGACAGAGCAATGGACCCAGCTATAACAGCTGTCAGGGAGCTGTGGTTCTGTTGAGTGTAGGGACTGCATCTAACAACACGAGTTCAAATCCAGTCTACGGCGGTGGGCTTGGTTTGTGGTGGTTTACCATCCTCTGGTGGAGCGCTGTAGGATAAGCACTGAACCGCAAGTCGGTTTGAACTGTAAGGTCGTCGGTTCAAACTCACCAGTGGTTCCTTGGAAACCTAATACAGGGTCGCTATGAGTGGACGACAATAAGCTGCAAGGAGAAGCCTTGGTTGTGCTGTGGGTTAGGTTGCGGTTATTGTTAAGTGCCATCGAGTCGGTTCGGACTTAGGGTTTCAGAAGAGTGACTGGTGAGCTTGAACCGCCAACCTTGCATTTCAAACGGCTTTGCATTCTGGTGTATTAACCTACAGCGCCACACCAGGACTATCGGCTGCTAACTGCAAGATGGGGATTCGAACCCAACTGTTGTGTGCCCCAACATATTCAGTCTGGGCAACTGTGAGTTGTGATCCACTTGTTGGAAGTGGGTGCGCTCTTCTGTAGGGAGAGGACACCATGTTGTTCATCCCCCTCCCCCTCCCAGTTGCTGGGACCCACCCAAGCCTCCAACCCCAGTGCAAGCTGCCCCCAGTGCAAAGCCGGCCACTGCCCGAAGACAGAACCATGGGGCCAGGGAGACCCAGGGGGGCGGAACCATAGGGACCTGAGGGTTTGTGAAAAGCCTTGCGGCACAGCCAGGTCCCCAGGGGAATGGGGGGCTCTGAGACTCACCCGACATGGTCCGGGCGCAGGGCGCTGGCCGTGGGTAGTGGACGAGCTGGGCAGCTGAGGCTCTGGACGCACGAATTCCCGGCCTGGGAGAGGCTGGTGCTCAGATGGCGCCGGGTGACGCCCACCCTGCACTCCCTCCTCGCCCTCCGTCCCTTCAGGATACCCTAGGTCGCCTGGGAGCGACTCCCCAAAGACTCCCCATTCATATGCGCGCGGCCTTGGAGCCACCCCAAGCCAGCCATGCTTTCCCCAGCCTCGGAACCCCGGCCCAGAGACCCCCGCCGCGCGCCAGCGACTCCCACCGCGCCCTAGCCACCCCAAAGTCTCAGGGCTGCTGATGCCCTGCTTCCCGGCCTCCAGAGACCTCGAGACCCCATCACCCCGTGGGCCCCAGTCACCCCCTTACCTACCCAGCCTCAGCCTGGACAGTTGCTGACCAGATCCTGCACTCCCGGGCCCTGCGTCCAGCACCAACTCTGCGACCCAGATCGAAGACTCTAAATGTCCCCGTGGTCTCCCTGGCCCCAATGACCTCCGGCCTCTAAGCCCCCAGCTTCCCCGGCTTTCGCCCCCTGCGTCTCCCGCACCTCCTTGCGCTTGCCAGCCCCGCCCCGCCGGCTCTGGGAGGCCCCGGTCCGCGCCCCGTGATTGGCTGCTCCTCCAAGCGCGCTCCGCCTGCCCCACGCCTCGGACGCGCAGCCCGGGCCCCGGGGAGGAAAGAGTGAGGAGGGTTAGGTCTCCTCCGCGCCTCTCCGGACGATCCAGTGGCTCACAGTGTCTGGGTTGGGACATTTAACCTTTCATTGGCAATCCCCAAAGTCAATATTTGCACTTGTGTGTGGATCTAGGCTCAGAGCCCGTGTGCTGCCCGCTGTCCAGGCGGAGGCCACACTCCAAACCCATGGGCCCCCCCCCTCCCCCGCGCAGCAGGACTTCAGCACGTGATCCCTCTGGGTGGTGAGTGACGTGTGTGTGTGTGTGTGTGTGTGTGTGTGTGTGTGTGTGTGTGTGTGTGTTTGTTGGTACCGATGCACGCGTGGTCCAGCTCAGGATAATAGAATGAATGCATGATCATGCCTCAGCCATGGCAGATACTTGCAGGGACGGGTCAGTGGGCGCTCGAAGGAGTGGACCGATGCAAGGACATGTGAACAAGAGAATGAATGAAGGAAAAATGAATGCCTGAATGAATAAGTGAACGCAAGCGTGGATGTGTGAGGGAATGAATGAAGACAGGCACGCATGAATGAATGAATGAATGCACAGATTAATACATGCACGAATGCATGTCCATGAATGAATGAGTGAAGGCATGAATGAGTGAATGAATGAACGAGTGCGCGAGTGGATGAATGAATGAACGAGTGCATGAATGAATGAATGAACGAGTGCATGAATGAACGAGTGTATGAGTAAATGAATGAGTAAAGGAATGAATGAGTGAATGAACGAATGCATGAATGAACGAATGAACAAGTGCATGAATGAACGAGTGCATGAGTGAGTGAATGAATGTATGGATGAGTGAATGAATGAATGTATGGATGAATGAATGAAGGCATGTCTATGTGCGTGAATGAATGCATGCATGAATGAGTGAATGAAGAAGTGAAGGCGTATTTGGATGACTGAATATGTGAATCATTAAATGAAAGCATGAATGAATGAAGACATGATGTGTGGGAATGAATGAATGCATGCATGATGAATGAGGTTACGGGCGAGCATATGAATGAATGAATGAAGTGGACATAGACATGTATGAATGAATGAATCAATGAAGACATGATGTGTGGGAATGAATGAATGAATGCATGATGAATGAGGTTACAGCGAGCTTATGAATGAGTGAATGAAGTGACATAGGCATGCATGAATGAATGAGTGGATGGGTGACTGAATGAAAGAGTGAATGAAGAAGGGAATGCGTGGGCGAGTGAATGGATGAGTGAATGTACTTGAAAACAAACCATCGTGAATTACCGATTACATGAATCAGTGCAATGCCTGCATGAGGGAATGAATGAATGAGTGGCTGCAGGAAGCTCTGCATGAATGAATGAGTGAAGGGACAAATGGGACAGGTATTCTAATGGGGGGCTTGCCTGTGTCCATATCCCTTCTGATTAGGCCAGGACCCCTGCACAGGCCCATCTGGGAAGAGAAAGGATCAAGGAGGGAGAGGAGAGGCCACTGGGGCGAAACAAGTCTACACCTGGGCCCTCAGACCAAAGCAGAGGACAGGGACCCAGCTGGTCAGATGACTGACCCAGTCAGTGATGGGAACAGAGAACAATGGGTCGAGGCTTCATCTGCAGCCAGATGTGTGTGTGATGTTGACCAGGGTTACCCAACCCTTAGGATTTTTCCAGTCCTGTCCAGAGTTTAAAACATTTTTTCCTTCAACTTTTTTTTTTATATTGTGAATTGAATGAAGATTTATAGAGCCAATCATCAGTTGTACTATCGACAAATCACACATTTTGTTTCTTCTCAATGATTACAGTCCCCTCCATGCGACAAGAGTTATCCCATGGTCTCCCTGGGGCTCTTCTTTCCTGTCTTCCTTCTTTCCCTGCCCTCCTGAACATTGTCCTCAGGTAAATGCTGCCTTTTGGATCTGGAAGGCTTGACCATGCCAAGGTGTAAGATCCTCACTGGTGTGGCTGCCTCCCTACTTTATTGCTTGGCTGACAATTAAGTCAGGGCGTGAGTCCACTTCCAGACCTGATGGATGACCAGGAGCCGCGGTCTCAGGCTTACAGCAAGCACTCTTTATGTGACCAGGAAAGCTAGTCTTTTCTCCTTATTTTGCGTTTTCTTCCACATTGTATTCCACTCTCTCCAGGACTTTCTAATATGATTCTTTTCAGACTAGTCGGTAGTGGTAGTTGTTAGGAGCCATTGAGTTGGTACTGACTCATAGTGACCCAATGTACAGCAGACTGAAACACTGCCCTGTCCTTTGTCAACCTCACTGCTGTTGCCACGCTTGAGTCCATCAATGATGCCACTTGGCCAATCCATCTTGCTGGGCGTCTTCCTCTTTTTCTCTGACCCTCCACCTTACCAAACATGATAGCCTTCTCCAGCAACTGGTCCCTCCTGACAATATGTCCAAAGTGTGAGAGATGAAGTTTGGCCATCTTGGCCTCCAAGGAGCACTCTGGCTTCACTTCTTCCAAAATGGAGCTATTGGTTCTTTTGTCAGTATATATATGTATGTGTATGTATGTACACACACACACACACATATACATACATACATACATACATACATATACATACATATATACACACACACACACTTTTACTACTGTAAGGAGTCCTGGTGTGGCGCTGTGGGCTAATGCATCAGACTGCAAAGTCATTTGAACTGCAAGGTTGGCAGTTCAAACTCACCAGCTACTCCTTGGAAACCCTATACAGAGTCACTATGAGTTGGAACTGACTTGATGACACCTAGCTACAACAACACTGCCCTCCGTACACATGTTCAGCCTGTGTAGCTATCCCTCTATCTACCCATTATTATTGTAAAGTGCCTTCAAGTCATTCTGACTCATCGCAACCTTCTATAGGGTTTCCAAGGAGCAGCTGGTGGGTTTGAACTGCCAATCTTGTGGTTTGCAGTCCGACCTCCTAGGATTGAGGACGGCATGATTTCGACTCGTTTACTTTGGGCACATTCTCAGGCAAGACTGCGGCTCCTTAGAAATGGACATTGTGTTGATAAACTAGAGGGTCAGTGGAAACAAGAAAACCCATCACGAGACGGACACATACATCAGTCACAACTATGATGTTGAATACACCAGTGATTATGAGAGTGACTCACACCCGGGCATCCTTTCTTCTCGCTGTATGAAAGGAGTCGTGGTGGACTGCTAGCTACGTGGTTGTCAGTTCAAACACACCGACCACCTTGTGGGGGAAATATGAAGATTTCTGCTCCCATAAAGACTTCTAGTCTCAGAAACCCTACACACGGACTCTGTTAAAATCACCTGGATGGCTGCAGGTTTGGGTACATAGATCAGCATGAGTCGGAGCCGGCTCTGCGCTGACCGGGAGTCAGCTGACCGGCTCAGCGCTGAATGAAGGGACGCATGTGGGTATTCATGAACGGAAGAACAACATGATCATGGGCAAATGAGCCAACAAACACATATGAGGGGGCTTTGAGAAATCCATGGAAAGATTTCAGTATCCCTTAACTCCGATTCCCCACGAACTTTCTGAAGCCCCTTTGTATGTGGACCGACCAATGACTGGAGATGAACATCGTGTTTGACAAAGTGGAGTGTCAACAAAAATGAGGGCAACCCCTCAACCCGGTGGATGGGCAAGAACGAGGTCAGGTAGAAGGATGACAACCATGGTGTGGACTGAGAAGTGTTTTGTCCTGCTGTGGACGACATCGGGGCCCACTCGATGGCGCCCGAACAAGAGTTTGGGTGAATCGAATCCAGCGAGGACTTTGTGGCTCAGGTGTGGCCCGCAACGGCGGTCAGTTTGAAAATTCCAGATGCACCGAGAGTTCTTACTGACTTGGAGCAGAAAACAGGGGCATAGTCAGGAAGCTGCTAAGGCAGATTCCCCACCCTCAGAAGCTGTCTGCTTAGATCATCGAGGGGCTGGGGAAGAAAGCAGGTCACAGCCGAGGGCCACCTGTCCGGCAGGTCAAACAGGCCAGGTGGACCAGGGGAGCTCGACAGGGAGAAACAAATGTCCGCTGGGATTTTCGGGATTGCTGGAGACTCAGATGTATCATAACTCCCATTTCCTTATAGGGAACTGCTGGAAATTCACATCAGATTCACAAAAGGAATTAGAACGAGGGATAGCCTTGTTGCTGACAAAACATCAGATAGATCTTGGCTGAAAGCAGAGAATATCAGAAAGGTGTTTACAAAGGCTTTCGATTGTGTGGATCATGACAAGCTATGGGCAACATTGTATAGTATGAGTATTCCGGAACATTTAATTATGCTCATGAGGAATCTG